TTATCAGCAGTCCTGCGGGAAGAGAAGAGTCGTATGAAACCATGCAGCCTTCGGGGAAACTCCTCCCTTGCCCTCTGGAGGAGAGGGGAGGACAAGCCCAGAGTCGGAGCCCCGCGGAGAACCTTTCATGCATCTCGGCCTCTGGGATCCTTGCTGTACTGCTGCCACCTGCTCCCCTGCGGACCAGGTGTCTGAGAGAGGCGGGGGGGGTTCTACTTAGATGAACCCCCAAAGGGGTCTTCCCTCCACTCCCCCGACAGCATTAGGGCTCTGGCCCTGCACTAGACAAGCCCAGGTCTGGCGGCCTCTCCAGCCCCGTCCTTCCTCACATTCCCCCGCCCCCTCCTTCAGCTGGACCTGACGGTGAGGCCCTCTTCCCCTGCCACGTGCTCTCTCGTCTCAGCAGCCTTGGTACCTGAGGCTCTCTCTGCTTAGACCTTTCCACTTGAACGCTCTAACCTACAGCCATTCTTTTTCTGGGTTTTTTTGTTTTGTTTTGTTTTGTTTTGTTTTTTATAATTATTCTATTTAACTTTGTTTATTCTTTTTTTTTTTTTTTTCCAGAGAGGGACAGGGAGAGAGAAAGAAAGTGAGAGAAAGCAAGCCACCAGGTCCGGGACTTGAACCAGTACCCTTAACCACCACGCCACCTGTCGGCCCCGCCTACATTCTTCATACGGTGACTTCTTAAGTACTCTGACCCAGCTCACTGGCCTGTATGTCCTGCCATATTCAAGCGATCGATTTTCGTACGAGCTCAATCAACATGCCGCTCGGGCCAGCTGGAGGCGTGGTGGTGAAGGCAGCGGGACCCCACACGGCTGACTTCACAGTAGGAGTCTCGGACACGGCGGCTTGAGAAACACCCCAGGGATGTGTGCATGCGTGCCCAAAATCCTGAGAAGGGGGTGGAGAAGGGATGGAGGAGCGGCCCTCCGTCCTGGGGGGTGCCTGCTCACTTTCTCTCTCTGGCCACACCCCGGTCCCTTCTTCTCCGTTCTCCTCCTGGGATTTTGGGCATGCACACATACGTGCCCAGTATGATTTTCAAGCACCAGCTCCCAGGACTCGAACCGTGGTCGGTCACGTGGGAGTCCAGAGCCGTAACCAGCACACCACCTGCTGGTCCCAGCTGAGGGCCCCGTGCTGACTGAGTCCCAGCCTGAAGGGTGGGGTGTAGACTGCAGTGGCCTGGCTATCTCTGAGCCTTCTTTGTGATGAACTTCCTAAGAAGTCTTTGCTCTCCACGTGCAAGGCTGGGCTCACTTGAGGTAGCAATGCCGCATCTTCACGGTGGCCTGGTGGCCCTTGATGGCAAATACCACGAGTGTGGTGATCATCGAGGTGACCAGGTGGAGGAGAGCCACGCCGAAGGCGTCGCCGACGCAGTTGTTGGAGCGAGGGATGCAGGAGCCGATCGCGGTGAAGCTGCCAAACCCAGAGCTCAGGGAAAAGAAGAGCTGCTTCCCTGTCCGGCGCCACACTTCCATGGAGTACAGGGCTGTCATCTGTGGGGAGGCGTGTCACACAGGGAGGGCGGGAAACCTCCATGAGGCGGGACGGAAGGGAGGGGGGCACTAGGAGGGCCTCCGCTGGACTGACGACCACCTGTCCCTGACAGCCCCCATCTGGATTAGGAAGTTAAAGGATGGGCACCAGCAGATGGCATAATGGTTACGCCATTGGACTCCCACGAAGTGGACTGCGGTTCGAGTCCAGACACAGCGGCTTAAAACTCATGCCAGGCGCATGTGCGTGCGTGCCCCCCGAGAGGAGATTGGAGGAGATTTCTCACTTTCTGTCTCTGTCTCTCTGGTGAGTGCATGTACCCTATAACAAAAATCTCTCTCCCAAAAAAAAGGAAAATTAAAGAGTGGAGAGATGCCTCACCTTGGCGGCCAACAAAGTCTTGATGCCAAAAGTCGCACCCTCCAGCAGCAGCGACCAGACGAGGAGACCGGAAAGGATGAGGTAGGGGAAAAGCACCGAGACATACAGCATCTGAGGGTAAAGGGGGTTCGCAGAGGGTCACAGGGCAGGAGCTGGGGAGGGTGGGATCGAACTGCTGGGAAACGTGTCCGACGGGCATCCCGTGAGGAGGTGGAAGGGGCCCGTCAGGCCGGTGGGTTGGGGGGCTTACCTTCCCCGTGAATCTGGGCCCTTTCATCATGGAGAGGCAGGTTAGGAGCCAGCTCACGGAGAGACACAGGCTGAGGTGCCACACGGGCAGCCCACCGTCCTCGATGTCACCTGCGGCCTTCAACACCCTCCGGTACCAGAAGTAGGTGGTGGCTGTTGTCCGCTCACACTCAGGATCTGGGGGGAACGCAAGCCCGGGGACCCTCCTGCTTCGGTCTACCCACCCCCTAATTCAAATCCCACGGCAGCCTCTCCCCTCCGCCCTCCCCGCTCTCGGTGCGTCCGCCTCCTCCATCCCCACGCCTGGTCTCGGCCTCCACGCCCTTCTCTTCTCACCTCCATTACTCGAGTTCCGCGGTTCCGGGCACAAGGCCCACGGCAGTGGGGACTGGAAGGACTGAACCAGGTAGAAGAGGCTCCAGGACACGATGACACTGTAGTACAGGGCCACGACGGCGCACACCTGGGGCCAGCCAGAGTTGGGACAGGGGAGGGGGCGGAAGGGCGGCAGCTGGACTGAGCATCGGGGCTGCGGAGCAGGGGCGGGGTGCGGGTAGGGAGTGAAGGGTAAGCCGGGAAGCCCAGGATCCTCACCATGAAGCTGGCATAGCCCAGACCACCAAGCCAGGGGCTGACGGGCGTC